TAAGCCCACCATATGGGTGTAAAACTTTTTCCAATTATAAACAAAGCCCACCATATGGACATTAGACGAGTACATTCCAATTATAAACAAAGAGACATCAAAAACACAAAAATAACACCAAACTTTTTCGGGAGCTTAAGAACCAACAATGTCGACGTAACAATCTAAAAAAAATATTTTATACAAAAAAGAAAACCGATCCAAATAGACAACAGAAAACTTCTCCAACTGGATAAGAGAGAGTTAAAACTATATTTTTTAAATTTACAAGAGATATATTTTGCATTAAAGATCACATTGAGAAGAATGCATCAATCTCGTATCAAATTTCTCTTGACGAAAAGGCATAATAATACATGGTCTACACGCACTTAGAATAAAACACTAACCAGCTTTCGCACTTCCGAGGTAGGATCATTAGCAAGAACAAATAAACCTTGAAGATATTGGTCCATGGATATATATAGCGCCTGCAATCATATATATTGTAAACAACAACTATCAACATAAAGACCAAAACAAGGTTCAAAATAAGCAAAATGAGTAAGTTTATCACACACTCGAAACTTACCGTGGGCATCAGCATAATGTATTGATTCACAGAACTCAACGAAAGTTTTCTCAATGTAGCATGTGGCGACTGGAAAAACTGCTCAAAGAAAACCCAACCACGAGTCAGGAGACAGAGTTTTAACAGGTAAAAATGAAAAAAATGAACTGAAAGAACTCGACGGCTCTAGGTAGATAATGTTACAATGCCAATTGAGTCAGTGGTAACTATAAGTAGAAAAATAGATACGAAACAAGACGATACAAGCCAACCATACCTGAAATAATCTAGGAAGAAATATGTTGATTGGGCGTTCAGGCAATCCGGGTACATCTGAATCAAGCACTTGAGGTATATCTTCACAAATCTAAGCCAAAAATTGTAAAGCACATATACATAGAAATGTCAAAGCTTGTTAACACACACCTACGTTTCAAAACGCTACAAAATAAATTCAATATAAAGCTATATTGCAGATCTTCATTAAGAGAGGTTGCATAAAACACTTAAAAATTGAAGGCCCAGCATACCTGATTCTAGTATGAACCAAAATATCAAAATTTTAAGTCTGCCGGAACCAAATTATTCAATTAACAAACAACACAACCCTCCCTCAAGGGGCAGTCTAATCTAAGCATTGAACTTCACCAAACTTGTATAGAATATAGAATGAACAATTATATGACCAGAATTTTAGTCCTTGCATTTAAACCTCTTAAAAATCGTCAAGGTAAGATTGTAGGATAGAAAGTAAGACCTTGGACAAAGCATCCATGGCACCTTCCATGTGATTCTGGTCTTTACTGTCTAAGCATCTTACAAGTGCTTCCAACAACTCAGGCCACCCCAATATTCCGCCTAGTTGAACAACGACACTGATAATCGTCCCAACCGTAGACCTGATATGTCTGTCCGCAGCTCCCATGCATGGCAACAGTTCAGTTTTAATATATTGCTGAAACGCAGGAGTCATCGATTTGTATGCAGTTCTAAGGTTGTTTTTCAGATACAAGCCAGCAGCTTGTCGAACCTCAACTGATTTACCCTGTAGAAAGTTCCAATATATCAACTCAATTTCTTAATTTCAAACCTAGAATATTGCAAATACATGACAGGCTAAATCTAAATACAACCATGGTTCAGAAAAGTCCGTGATCAAACATTGATTGAACCCACCACTTACCTTCCACTTTTTCAGTTTTAGTGTGTGAGTGTGTCCGTGTGTAACAGAGCACAGATAGCAAACTAATTAAAAATGCTACTCGCCATTGACTGAAGTCAAGAGCAAAGCTTAGCCGATTAGATTAATAATCCACCAAGAACCCACAAATTAATCCCAACTCTACAATCTCTGTCAAACCCAGAAGTCTCAAGAAGCACACGGTCCAATCCAACCAATCCCATGAATACCCAATAAGCGAATTGCAAGAACATTTAAACAAAAGCGCCAAAAGAGAAGTGGAAGAACCTCAGCGCGCGCAAGAATAAAAGCGAGGTAGTTATTGAAGTCAGGGAACTGGGAGTATTGCTGAAGCTGCTGCCAAATCTGGGACTTATCAGAATTTGAAGAAGGAGAAATCTGCTGCTCGAGTAAGCCGCAGATCTCGTTGAACCCATTCTCCTGAGGATGCCAAGATGCACTCGCCGCCATATCAATCTTGGAACCAAATAACAAACCCAATAAATAAGCGAAACTGGAAACCAAATGAAAAGTGTAGACAGTAAAGTAAAGGGTTCTAAGGGACGTAGCCGAAATTTGGTTGAATAGAAAAAAATTAAGAACTAGGATAAAAGAATTTTTGGAAGCGGCCGGTGAGGGAAGAAAGAGATGGAATTATATAGGTGGGTCGGGTTAAGATATCAGGCGTGAGCGACAGTATCGTCAAAATGATTGGAGTCGACGAAAATTCGACAATTCCGCTGTCTTTTTAACTTTAGCACAATGGAGCTTTTCAACATTTTCTAAGGCAAATTGAAGAACATGAACATCACTTTGTATTGTTCTAGTAATGTTTTTCTCGTGATTTTAAAAAAGTTTCAATTTCTTTTTTCTGGGTCGATTCTAAAATTTAGTTTAAGTGTTATTATTGTGAGTTACTCGACCTCACGAAGGGTTCGATGAGGTTGAATAGTCGGATAGCTTGGGTAGGTTTTTGAATGCATTTGTTAGAGAGAGGTTTTCACACCTTTTATCCTAATCTACCTCTTGAAGGCTCAACGTTCTTGTTGACACACCGACTCTAATACCACTTGTAATGCCACATCCCACTGCTAGTCGATATTGTCCGCTTTGACTTATTACGTATTGTCGTCAACCTCACGCTTTTAAAACATGTATGTTAGGGAGAGGTTTCATACACTTATAAGGAATGTTTCGTTCCTATCTCTAATCGACGTGGGGATTTCACAGCTTTTTTTTTTTTTTAGTTTGATATATATTAACTATGTTGTGCTCGTACACAAGTTATCGTAATATGGCAGTTGCAAACCCACCCAAATCACCTTATTTCATTGGATCTTCTGACCGTTGATTGAACTAAAGACACTCCTGACAAATATATTAAAACTAGATATTATAATTAAGAAATATAAGTTACACCCGATAATAACTCAACTAGTTATGAAATGTATTTTATATTTTATTAATAGATCAAAAGTTTGAATCTCTCTATTTCTCTCATTAATAACAACTTTCGACGGTTTGTTTTTACCCAAAATAATTACAGTTCGTATAATAAATTATTAAACTTTTAATTTTATATTAAAAAGCTTATTGTAATTTGAATTTTTAATTTTATATTAAAAAACTTTCTAAGAATTAATAAGATTTTTAGCTTTCCATTTTATGTATTTTACATGTTTTAATTTTGTAAAAAAAAAAAAAAATATATATATATATATATATATATATATATATATATATATAATAATTGGAAGTTTTATAAAATATTTAAAAATATGTAATTCCTTTTGCAAAAAAGAAAAATAGTTTTTTTTAAAGTTGTTAATAACTTTTTATTATAAAAATAAAAATAAATAAAAAAAGAAAACCCTAAACCTCTCCTATATCCTCCCGAGAAAAGATTCTTCTAAACCGAATAAAGCGGCCGGAAAATAATATCTATTAATTTTATTTTTCATTTTGTATATTTTATCAAAATAAAATAAAATAAAATAAAATTTGTATAAATTATTATTCTTTTTTCCCATAATCATTTGCATTAAAAGTCAATTCTTTAATGTCCGTGTGATGATCATTATAGATAGCTAATTATGGGATTTTCTTCACTCGAGCATTATCTTTTGAATTTCGTAAAATATTATTCAATAAAATTACAATTTTTATTTTTAAATATATATTAATATTTGGTTTTAAAATAATCTGTCCTTATTTTTATTAAAATAATAATTTAATCATTAAAATTTCTTATACAATCTAACATTAGACGATATTTCATTATTTCATTCACGATTATTATGATCATGCATATGCACGAAGTCCCACATACAAACACATAAGTTTAATAACACGATATAATATAGATGATATTTCATTCATCCCGACATGAATATTTATTTTATTCTCGTTACGTATGACTTTATTTTTCAAATAATCCAAGCAATAAATTCAGTTCCAACTATAAAATAATTTACATTAACTGCAAACTATAAAAAAAAAAACTAATGATTCCACTAAAAAGTTCTTCGTCCAACCTAATCATTTACTTAAAGATTACTAACTTGATGTCACATAATTTTGTCTTCAAATTTGAACCTAAACATAATGAATACTGATGGGGTTAACTAATTTAGAGCACTTTATAATCAAATTCCAAAAGGATCGGAGCGACGTGACTCTAAATTATCAGCTGGAGTCCTTGCTAGTTCATTTTTGTATTTCACTTGAGCGTGGAGTGTCGTGAATCGAGTGCTGATGGATGTCTGCAAGGTTGCGCCGCTGCTTTGTCCAACACGATGGTAACAACACGAGGAAGCGAGGGAATTGCAGCTCTAGACGTCGTGGCCTCGTCGGGGTCAAGTGGGTACTAACGAAAACATGATCAAAATGTAATAGTTCAATCCCACCGCTAGCATATATTGTGCTCTTTAGACTTTCTTTATGAACTTTCTCTCAAAGTTTTAAAACGCGTCCGCTAAAGAGAGATTTATATACTCTTCATAAAAAATGTTTCGTTCTCCTCTCAAACTAATGTAGGATCTCACATAAAATCATGTGGGTCTCGCGTACAACAACTAAAAATCCAAGAAGAGGGCGAGAGAGCTTGTCGAATTCACCATTGCTGTCGTAAACCGCGTGAGGTAGAAAGATCCTAGATCGTTTGAAGAGAGAACAGATAAGACTATGGATAAAATTTTCGGACAAACTTAGGCACAAAATTGGGCTTTACAAATCTGAATTAACATCCAATGATATATTAAAATTTGGAGATTATGAACTAAAGACTTGAATTAAAAATCTGAAGCATGGCAAAAGTAGAAAGCAAAAGAGGCCTTTTCATCAGATTTGGAAGGAACGATTGACATAAAGTACAAGATTTCCATTCTAGAATTTGATTAACGAGGCAAGGATTAAACAAAAGCCACTAAACTTTTGCAAAATGATTTCCACTTAGATTAGCAAGAAGAAACAAGTTCCCCCACCCCTACGCAGTTGCTCTAAAAATGGGTTCGGTTTGTAAGTAGTTGAGGAAAGTGTAACAACCCAAGTCTACCGCTAGCAGATATTATCCTCTTTGAATTTTCCTTTCCGAGCTTTCCCTTGAGGTTTTGAAATGCATTTGATAGAGAGAGGTTTCCACACCCTTATAAATATTGTTTTGTTCCCCTCCCCAACCAACGTGGACCCAACATCCTTGTTGGCACACCCCCTGGTGTCCACCCCCTTCGGAGTTCAGTCTCTTCGTTGGCACATTGCCCGATGTCTTGCTCTATACCATTTGTGACAGCTGAACTCCACCGCTAGCAGATATTTTACTCATTGAGTTTTTCCTTCGGGCTTTCCTCTAAGATTTTAAAATGCGTATGCTAGTGAGAGGTTTTCACACTCTCATAGAGAATCTTTCGTTCCGTTCTGCAACCGAGATTCTGAAAAAAGAAATACGAGAGTTTGTTTGTATACTAACCTCTGGACTGCCGCCGCCTTACAACAACATTGATTCACCCTTCTTTCGGTGGATTAGTGAGTAACAACCAAGCATCCATGGAGGGTGGCAGTGGCACAACTCGTTTTAGACAAAATAAGTGGGACTGCCAAACAGAGCCTTAACTTTTTTCTCTAACAAAAGCTGCCATTAAAGCTGTAGAAGGTTTGGGAGTTGCATGATGACTGTTAGTTGGGTTGGGAGTGACCTGCAGCTTGAAAAGGCTTCATTTATCATACCTGTAAGGGAAAATCAAAGGAGAGAGAGAGAAAGGATAAGGAAGAGAGGGGAAGCACAAGGCAGTGATGGCAGTGATGACAGTAGTACATTTGATGTGATGTAAGTAGGAATAGGAGACTGCAAATCTGTACCTTTTTTTCCCCTTTTATCTTTTAATGTCTCTGGGGAGGGAGAGCTAAGCTTTCATAGCTCTGAACATCCAAGTGTAATTACCTGCAGATTTTCCATCCGCTCTCTTGCCTTTTTCCCTGTAGACAAGCACTTTATTGAATTGTAATAAGTGATGTGATGATGTGATCTTTCTTGTTCAATTGGTATACTTTCAAACACTTTTATTTAACAAGCTACAAAAGAAACCAACAAAATTTTGTACAAGTTTACAGATCAAAACAAGATACCTGAGAAAATGAGAATCAAAACGATATGAATATTGGTAAGTATCAATTTGAAAGGGAGCCAGTAGAGTACTCAGAACTGTGAATGAACTATCAAAATCAATTAAGGTACATGAAAACTTAAGCAGATGATAATGATGAAAAAAGCAATTAGGTCCACAAGGGAAGGGTGTTTTAGCACAAATCATGCTAGTCAGCTTTGGTCCAAAGGAAAAAAAATCTCATAAGCACCAAAATCTTAAGCAGAACGACTTTCTCAGACCCAGAGGAGTACTTTAATCATGTCAATCTTGCTATATCTGAGGTTGATTAATGAGAAATAACTCAGTTTTTTGGGTTCTTCACAGCCTGTTTGCCTGATCTGTGAAATCAGAGCACAAAATCGAGAAGTTTTTAGCTGCAACCAAAGCAACAAAACAGAACTCGATTGCATTTTGTAATGGTGAGGGGTTCCAAATATGATCCCAGTACTGAAAGAAAACAAACAAAGTGCTCGATGACACACGTACATGTAAGAATGCCTCCAGAAATTATAGACAAGTACATACAGAAGAATCACAGTTACCCATGAACTTCAAGATGTCGAAAGTGAACTAAATTTTCTCAGTTCGTAAGGATCGTCAAATCTCTACTTCGAGTTTTCCGGCCCATCAATGGACCACTTACAATTCATCCTGTCCGAACTCTGAGAATCTCGCTCTCTACAGACTTCCAATACACATGCGATTGAAGTTCGAGGCCTACTCTCCTTCCTCGAACTCAAAATGATTGAGATCTATAAGAACCTACGCTACATCTAGATCCATAATCTAGCAGCAAATAAGCTTCCGTGAGGTAGAATTAGAACTGATATTAGTAGTTGCTATGGCCGTCGTCTTGAATGAAATTCAATAATGTCGATCTAAAAGCGAATTTTCATGGCGCATCGGCGATATAGATAGAAGTAATCAAAGAGGTGAAGCGATCACTAGTTATCCAATACGCTAAACATAAAGAAAGCCCTAGAAGATGCAAACCAGAGTCTCAGGAGATCGGCATATCGGCACCAACGAGCATACAACTAGGCGATTCACGTGGCGGTAGCATCGAACAGAGGGTAACTATTGCCGCATGGAATAGTATTACATCTGTAAATTTGCACTTGCAGCAACATCCGCCGGTCACCACCAGCGGGCCCGGTAGATAATCTAACGTCGCAAATAGGAGTGTTTCGAAAATATTTATTATTCAGCAAAAAACAATGGGCAAGTTTTAGTTTCAAGAACTGTGAATTGAATTAGAGTAAATTATCTTCTTAATCTTCGTTTGTGCAACGTTTCAATTTCATTCAATCAAGTCTCTCCGTTTTGGTCCACTACGTATCGCCCAACGCGTTTGCTAGGAAGAAGTTTCCACACCATCTTAGTTTTGTATCACCATCCCTCACAGTTTTAAAATGGGTTGTGGGGTTTCCACACCATTATAGGGAATGTTTTGTTCCTCTCTCCAATTGACATGGGATCTCACAATCCACCTCTCTCAAGTTGAGATGAGATCTCACAATCCACAACCCTTGGAGCCCAGTATCCTCACTGGTACACCACCCGGTGCTTACCTCTTTTTAAGCTATGTTTGCTAGGGAGAGGTTTCCACACTATTATAAGAAATGTTTCGTTCCCTTCTCCAACTTATGTGGATCTCACAATCCACCACCCTTGGGACCTAGTATTCTCCAACTGATGTGGATCTCACAATCCACTACCATTGGGGCCAGTATTCTCCCTAGCACACCACCCCATGTTTACCTCTGTTACAACAGTCCAAACTCACCGCTAACAAATATTGTCCACTTTAACCTATTATGTATCGTCAACCTTATAAGCTATTTTAAATTATTATATCTAGTTTATGCATATGTCATTGACCAATAAGTCAAATATTTGAATTTTTACTACTACATTTTGTGCACTTATTCTCCAAACTATAAGAATTATGAAGGTTAAATTTTGTTGTTTCTCTATTGGATCATTAGAGGAAGAAACTGTCCAATGGGAGTTGGGATCTAATCTCACCAATCCTTCTGTTGAGACCACGAAGAGCCTCCACGTGAGGCTCATCCTCCTCTACTGGTGCAATTTTCGCAAAGCTTCCTTCTTCAACAAAATCCACTACTCTATTTGCAGCCTCAAGACCAGTCACATATGCTTTCTCCTGTCCAACAAGAAGTCATTTAAGTCATCAACAAATATAATAGCCCAAGTCCAAATCCGCCGCTAACAAATATTATTCGTTTTGCAGGCTTCCACACCCTTATAAGGAATGTTTCGTTCCCCTCTCCAACCGATACGGGATCTCACAATCCACATCCTTTGGAATCTAGTGTCCTCGCTAGCACACCGCCTGGTGTCTGGCTCTAATACTATTTGTAATAGCACAAGCCCACCGCTTGTCCTCGCTAGCACACCGCCTGGTGTCTGGCTCTAATACTATTTGTAATAGCACAAGCCCACCGCTACCAAATGCTAGCACACCGCCTGGTGTCTGGCTCTAATACTATTTGTAATAGCACAAGCCCACCGCTACCAAATATTAACCACTTTGGCCCATTACGTATCGTCGTCAGCCTCACGGTTTTAAAACACGTCTGTCCTCGCTAGCACACCGCCTGGTGTCTGGCTCTAATACTATTTGTAATAGCACAAGCCCACCGCTACCAAATATTAACCACTTTGGCCCATTACGTATCGTCGTCAGCCTCACGGTTTTAAAACACGTCTGTCCTCGCTAGCACACCGCCTGGTGTCTGGCTCTAATACTATTTGTAATAGCACAAGCCCACCGCTACCAAATATTAACCACTTTGGCCCATTACGTATCGTCGTCAGCCTCACGGTTTTAAAACACGTCTGTCCTCGCTAGCACACCGCCTGGTGTCTGGCTCTAATACTATTTGTAATAGCACAAGCCCACCGCTACCAAATATTAACCACTTTGGCCCATTACGTATCGTCGTCAGCCTCACGGTTTTAAAACACGTCTGTTGAAGAGAGGTTTCCACACCCCCTTATAAGGAATGTTTTGTTTCCCTCTTCAACCGATGTAGGATCTCACAATCCACCTCCCCTTGAGGGCCTAATGTCCTCGCTGGCACACCGTCAGGTGTCTCACTCTGATATGATTTGTAATAGTTCAAGCCCACTGCTAACCGATATTGTTCGCTTTGGCTCATTAATATCGTCGTCAGCCTTATAGTTTTAAAACGTGCCTGCTAGGGAGAGGTTTCCACACCCTTATCAAGAATGCTTCGTTCCCCTCTCCAACCGATGTGGGATCTCACAACAAAATGATCATATCATATATCAGTAAAGGAAAGACTTGTAGATATCCGACCTGTGACCACGAACCATGACGGTTTATGATCCAGTCTCCAGCCATGAATACATTTGAGAACGATGTGAACCCGTACATCCGGTACTTGTATGAACCTTTTGGAGAATCAGACAGCCACAAATGAAGCAAAAATTTGCGAACAGAGTGACAGAAGAATTTGAACCAAATGTTAGTTCTAATCTTACATACCAGGAAAGAAGTGAGTCAATGTTGCTGGAAACTTTCCGATTTCCTTCTTCACTACGATGGCATTCTCGAAGTCCTTAACGCACGTTGAGAGGTAAGATTTCACCTTTTCGACTATAACTTCTTCGTTCAGCAGCATCAGCTCGTTGGCATGATACTGCTCATGAAAAAAATGACTATTAAAAAGGAAATCTTATAAACCAGTGGAAGGAGAGGATGTTCTTATACTCACAAAGTCAGCTTGCAAGACTGTAACTGATTCATCTTTGTGTTCATCTTGAATGGCATTCAAGTCGAAGAAACTCCACCCAAATGAATTATCCAAAGCCGAGCAAGAATTACTCGAATTTGGAATATTAACCTGTTTAACATTGTAGTAAGACGTCCATCACATCGACTCCTTCAGTAAGAGTGTAAAGATACGTTTCTTATTATTCGTCGTTTGATCGAAGAAATTGGTTTCGTTTCATTTTACTTACTTTTCTGTCAAACCAAAGCTTAACAGTCAGCATATCAACTGTTCTTAAGTTCAAAACCTTGAGGAACTCCTCTTTTGTTTGCAATGCTGCCCTAAACAGAACAAAGAACAAGGAAAACCAAACTAGTTATAAACACATACCAAAAGCTGGTAACAATGATGAATATGCAGCAGCTTAAAAGGAGACAAGGACCATACGAATTACGAACGAGTTCTTGAAGTATAGAAATTCCGACAGCGAAAACAACTGCATCGGCCTCATATCTTTTTCCGCCACAAAAAACGTCCGAGAGACGATTTGTATCATCATCTACAATTACATCTGTGATTTTGCTCCTCCTAACAAATTTACATCCCTTGCTTTCCAGCAAGTCAATCCATGGCTGGAAAATTCTCTCTTTAACAGTTCCACGACACCAGACTAGATTAAAATCTTTCTGCGTGTATTTACGAGTTTAGAGTACAAACGATCGACATAATTAGCAACAGAAGAAGTAGGCGTGTTGGTAATAGGAATTTGATTCTCCAAACCTGGTGAGCAAGGATAGTATAGTATAAGTTTCCCAAGGTTGCTGCAGCACTGCATTGCTCGGCTGGAGCAAATAGTCCTACTTGAAGCAATGGATTGAGTATGCTACTATAGAGCCTTCCCGAACAGCCGAACTGCTTGAATAGCTCCCGGGCGGTAACTATCCGTGAGAAACAGCTATTGATCAGACGCTTCAATTCATGTTAGTCCAATATCAAGAGTCTACACAGGTGACAAAGATATTACTTGAGTCGTATTTTCTCCATGCTGTATCCGTGTTGTCAAAGTCAACCACTGAAACAAAACACAGCAAAACCCGCTATAAGAAATATGTTTTTTGCTTTGACCTCCAATGATAGGAACATAGAATGCATTAGAAGTTAGTGTGCTGTACTTGGTATGCATTTGGACATTAAAAGGATTGTAATCACCATGAACAAGATCCATGCTGAACTTATTAAATTAGAGAAAAATCCAACATTATATGTTCATTTTTACACAGGACCATACTAGAAACTAGCGGATGGAAAGAGTTGTGAGATCCTAGTTGGAGAGCGAAACGAAGCATTCCTTATAAGGGTGTGGAAACTTGTCCTTAGTAGACGCGTTTCAAAACTGTGAGGTTGACAGCGATACATATCGGGCCAAAAACGACAATATCTGCTAGCAGTGGGCTTGGGCTTGGGCTGTTACAAATGGGACCCAGCAGTGTGCCAGCGAGAATGCTGGGCCCCCAAGAGGGTGGATTGTGAGATCCCACATCGGTTGGAGAAGGGAAGTATTCCTTATAAGGGTGTGGAAACCTATCCCTAGTAGATGCATTTAAAACAGTGAGGCTGACGACGATACGTAATGAGCCAAAGTGGACAATATCTGCTATATGTGGGCTTGAACTGTTACAAAAGATTGTGAGATCCCACATTGGTTGGAGAGAGGAAGCATTTCTTATAAAGGTGTATAAATCTCTCCCTAGTAGTCGTGTTTTAAAACCTTAAGGCTGACGACGATTTGTAACGATCCAAAGCGGACACCGATTTCTTATATGGGCTAGTGGTAGGCTTGAACTATTACAAATAGTATCAGAGCCAGACACCGAGCAGTGTGCCAGCGAGAATACTGGCCCCCAAGGGGGGTGGATTGTTAGATCCCACATTGGTTGGAGAGGGGAACGAAGCATTCCTTATAAGGGTGTGGAAACCTCTCCCTAGCAGATGCATTTTAAAACCAGACTGAAGGCGTTACGTAACGAGCCATGGGGGACAAAATCAGATAGCGGTGAACTTGGGTGTCCAATTTCCATTTCTAATGTCTTTTTTGGGTTTAACAACACGAAACGTGGGAAGTCAAACCTTTTGGTCAAAACAATATACCTCACCAATTGAACTATGCTCCATTTGGAAATTTCATCTTCAATGTTAGATTTTTCGTTACAATGTGACATATAGATATCGATATCGAATGACCTGTGAAAGAAATGTACCTGCAGCCATCAAAGGAAGTGACGATAAGCGATCCAACAACGGGAGTTGGAGAAACTGTGACCAAAACGACCGAAAGAAATTTCCATCAGGCCATTTAAACTATACAGTCAGTTTGAAGACATGAAAAATTGAAGTCATCCATACTTCTGTATAATATAAGGTTCCGAGAGGAGTTGGCAGTTGAGGCAGATCTTGGAATATTGGAAATTTTACCTACACAAGAACTGCATCACTGTCACGACACAATACAAAGAAGCAAATCTCGAACCTAATTAATTATCGGATTGATGAACACGTAGATGTGCATGGACTGAGAAGAAACTTGGGACTATTGGAAATTAATCTTATTGATCAGAGAAAAGCTATTATCTACCTCCAATCCATCAACTGAATAATGAGCAGGTGCTGTCCAGTTTGTGAAAGGAGTGATACCAAGCTCATCAACGAGGCCAAATATGTTCTTGTAGGGACGCCAGTAACCTACAACAATAAGAAACATTACCATGACCACCAGAGTAAATCCCAAACATATGTGATCCTACATCGATTGGAGAAAAGAACAAATGTCAGCGAGGACGCTGGGTCCCGAAGGGGGGGTGGATTGTGAGATCCTACATCAGTCGTAGAGGGGAACGAAACATTTTTTATAAGGGTGTGAAAACCTCTCTCTAGCAAACGAGTTTTAAAAACCTTGAGGGGAAGTTCGAAAGGTAAAGCTCAAAGAGGACAATTTCTGCTCGGTGAGCTTGTGCTGTTATAAATGGTATTAGAGTCAGACATTGGGCAGTATGCCAACTAGGACGCTGAGCCCCGAAGGGGGAGGACACTGGGCGGTGAGTCAGCAAGGATGCTGGGCCCCGAAGGGGGGTGGATTGTGAGATCCACATCGATTGGAGAAATGAACGAATGCCAACAAGGACGCTGGCCCAAGAGGGGGTGGATTGTAAGATCCCACCTTGGTTGGAGAGGGGAACGAAACATTCTTTATAAGGGTGTGGAAACTTCTCCCTAGCAGACGCGTTTTAAAAAACTTGAGGGAAAGCAGGAAAGGAAAAGCCTAAAGAGGACAATACGTACTAGCGATTGGCTTGTACCATTACAACATAAGTCAAAGAAGTATATCTATAAGAACAACAAATTCAGTGCTTCTGTGGTAACTTTAACATTCTCATTTCTTGTGAAAAATAAGCCAGAATCAAGAACGTTACTAAAGCGATCCTAAACAAACACATTTGGTTATTACCACGAATTCCATGATTGTCAGCACCACCATAATCGTTGCCGGGTTCAAGAACAGTGATATCAAATCCCTGAAATGGAAATTCAATTGAACACAAACTTTAACCAAATCATCTATTCACCATTCAATTGAACACATAAATAGCACCAAAACAGTAGCTAGTATGGATTGATAAACTAATTTAAGATTCTTCTTCTCCCTTTCCTTCAAATCATATAGGTAATATAACAAATAGAACCTGATTGCAGAGGTGATTAGCAGCGGCAAGGCCAGCCCAGCCGGAGCCGACGACGACGACCTTTTTCTTCTTTCGATTTTCTCCTCCATTAACGCAGAGACGGTGCCTAGAACGAGCTCTGCTGTAAAATCCACTTCGCAATCTGTTCGAGAAGAAGGGATTGTAGGAGATGGTTCCCATTCCCAACGGAGACCCAATCAGGATCATCTTTGTGCGATCGAGTTCGTACTTCCGGCTGGTGCGGTAACTTCCAGTGTTCTTATCCCTAGATTTGTCGGACTTGAACGCTGCCTACTCCTTCCGCGGGAGAGACAAAAATCTTGCGATTGGCTATGGCTACCAGCTCGACACATAGCTCTGATTGTCGCTTGTAAAACAGACCTGGTAATCGAGTGGAAGAGATGAAATGCTGTCGATTTATGGATTAATTTCTCAATTATCTCAATGAATAATTACAATTTTCCGATGTATATATCAAAATTAAGCCTTATACATCTTTTTTTTTTTTACCTATTTATCAATTACCAATTAAATAAATATTTTTTAATTGTAAGGTAGATATTGAAATTATATTAAAATTTATAATTATCTATTAAAAAAATTGAAATTAATATTTTACAAAAATATATAGAAAGGGATTGAGGGAAAAATATGTTCGAGAAACCTAATCCGTGCAAATTCCCAAGGGAATACCCGTCTCGATACTTGCATAAATAGAGGATTTTCGTATGAATGATGATTGAAATAAGAGGCAGAGATGGAGACCCGTCCTTGCCTTGTGGACATTTATAGCTCACCACTCCTCGCCTTTGTTTGAAAGTAGAATCGTCATACTAAACGTTTGTTGGTGTTTGGCCTCGATAGAGATACTAAACCTTGGAGATCACTACCTTCATCGTCGTTAGAAAAAACAAAAGGCTTGTTGTTTTTCGTTGCCCTTTCTTCCTTCCAGCATCAAACCCCGCCAGAGAAACCCTACTCTCCTTATCATCAAAGTATATGCGCTCGTCAGAAACCCTATTAAGTATACCCTAATAGAATACCGTGTGAAATAGTGAATAATTGATTTGAAGAGGGTTATAAAATCTTAACGGTTATAAAAAAAAGTCAATGCTTACGTGTTGTCGGCTCTTTCTTTGGAACCACCGTCGGGAAGAATGTTCCAAGTCATAAGAAAATGGAGAGTCCTTGTCCGTTTGAGTCGGTCGTTCCAAGCCAAAAAAACGTACTGGCAGATTGAGTTGACGAGGGGAAGGAGTGAAGCAATACGAACCCTTTGTCTCATGCATCTAACCTGCTCACATGGTTCGTCCAAGGGCTAAGGGAAGAGAGTTGGTTGCTCTAGTACCATTGACTATATATATATATATATTTAAAAAAAAATAAATTATAAGTTAATTACATATTAATTTAGTGGGTAATATGTCTTTTCATGATAGCTTAGGCTTGAATTGGTTTAGCGGATCCAGACCGTACACTGCGAAGGCCGAGGATCTTGAAAGATCAACGTCCGAGATGAAACAATAAAATGAGCTCACCGTAGCTATTCTAGTAACGGCTTACCGAAATCTTCCTCCATTCAGGAGTTTCAGCGGTTAAATTTGCAAGCACGCTACAGCAACAACGAAGGCCAGCCTCACGCTTCTACAGACAATCAGTTCGACAATGGCAGCCACCCTCTCCGTCCGGCCCAACCGCCCTGCCGCCGGTTCACCGTTTCCCTGGCCGCCTTTCCGACGATCCAGTTCAACATTTCTCAGTAGAACCGCTTCCTGGAGTGGCGGCGCCGCTGTTGCCCCGCCTCCACGCCGCGCATTTACAAGGACGCTGCTGCTGCCGGTTCAGGCAACCTCGCGTCCAGACGACTCAGCGCCGTCTAAGATGTCTCTTGAGCACGCACTTAAGCTTCTTGGAGTCTCTGAAGGAGCCTCCTTCGATGAAATACTCCGCGCCAAGAATTCTATTCTTGCTACTTGCAGTGACGATAAGGCGATTGCTCAGGTGGTTTATTGATCGTATTTTGAGTGACGATTTTTTCTTAATTTTGTAAATCCAGTATCTGAGGTCATGCGTTTGATGTCAATTTGGTCGTATTGTAGCTCAATTTTGATATTTTCCGTATCGTTTCTTAATTCGACAAGTGGAATCTTGTAGCGAGTATCAGTAGGTTGCATAATAAGTTCTCTTGGAGTGTAAGTTAATGTTAATTAGACGTTTATAATTCGTTTTCACTATGTTGTTTGAAAAGGCTCATAGAATTTTATCACAAAAAAGGTTCATAGAACATTCTCCGCATGATCTACCCACTTTCCAACTTTTTCACCATTTTACATATTCTGACTTGTAGAAGAGATTTAGAATTCCAATCTGCAACACCCATCGCCAAATATCTACCATATCCATTCTCTGCACACTGCAAGCGTTTCATAAATTTGAAGCATTGCTTTCAATTATTTGTTACATATATAGCCTTTTTTCCGTGCTTTAACCTTCTTTCTAAAATCAAATATGTTTATATTTGGTTTCTCATTCACTGTCGTTCTACCATGATTATCATTTATCACTTCTATGGCATAAGTTATTGCACTTGCTCATTCCATTCTGCTGTTTTGTTAATAATGTATTGGTAAGAAGAGTTATTTTTATTTGGAGTAAAATCCTCTGCCTGGATGCTAAAAGTAAGATATGGTGTATTCTACACTTTTCACAGATGACCAGGGAAAATTGTTACATCAGTGCTACAAGCTTTCTAGCTCCCTGGGTGAATGATTGATTGTCTCGAAGCTTCTAATATTGGCCGCTTGATATTTTTAGCAAATGATGTCATGTGTAATGTTTTATATTATATTTGGAAGGTTTTCTAACTAAAGCACCGAAGCTGTTCGTTGATTCCATCCCATATGTAAACCTTTTCTGCTATTAGAATTTTTTCTCCGTTATAGCTTATATAAGTAGGGAGTTCATTTTCCTTGTTGATATGTTTTGCGTGTTTCAGGTTGAAGCTGCATATGACATGCTGCTTATGCAAAGCTTAACTCGGCGGCGAGCTGGGAAAGTTGAGAACAGTCGCATCCGATATGCTGATGCTAAACCAATAAATTCTCCTGGCTTGGGTTCATCATCTCAGTGGCTGCGGAATATGCCTATTACTGTTGAAGCCCCATCTACTCGTGACTTGGGCATACAAGCTGGTGTATATGGGGCACTAGCAGTCTTGACTTATGTAAATGGAGCTTCTTCATCTTCTTCACTGCCTTATGCAGGTGCTGATGTTCCTGGACTGATCTTGGCAGGTAGCTTTGGAGCTTCCCTGTACTTCATGACCAAAAGGAACGTAAAATTAGGTAAGGAGTTTGACGAAGAAGCCTTATAATACTCTGTTTATAAGTATTGCAATAGTTTGATTCTCATGAACTAGAGAATTCAGCATAGCAATTCATTATGTTTAATATTCTTGTGAAGTCCAAGGATTGGCTGAAGAATAGGATTATATAGCCATGGAGTTATATATTGCCAACGAAAATTGTGGATAAAAAATAGTGAATGTAACTTGATTAGCTTTAACCATAATTTGAAAGATAAAAGTATCTTTTAGATTTATTGCTAAGTTGAAATCTGAGTTACCATGTTTCTATCAGTTGACTAATTGGTTAATGAAAACGTGTTCATTTATCAGTTTAACCTTCTGAACAATGAACTGAATTCGTTTTCTTGATTGAGTGAAAGTTTCTTATAGGGCTCATCTAATAATGATTCTGTTATTAATTCTGTAATCTACTTCTAAATTTTTTTAAGAACAATGTTAATTGGAGCCCAAGTTTTCAGAATTTCACAAGTTGGAACTCTTATTCTTAGAAGAACATATTTGATGCTGATTTTTTTTCCCCTCTTTGCAGGAAAGGCAACGGTGATAACACTAGGTGGCCTTGTGGCTGGTGCAGTAGTGGGGTCTGCAGTTGAGAGTTGGTTGCAGGTTGACGTTGTTCCTTTCCTTGGTGTACACTCCCCTGCTACTGTCGTAAGTGAATTTGTACTTATTTCCCAATTCTTGGTCTCTTTATACCTTAGATAGAGTTGACAGAATCTTGTAGTTTCCCCTTCATTGTAAAAGTTGTAATTATTCAATTGCTCTTTCCCATGTTAGTTCTTTGAAGTTATGTGCTTTTGGATTCAAAAAGCTCAATAGATTGTTGGGAATGACTTGTGTTTATAGTGAAGAATGTAATAACCATCGTATGTTCCCCTTGCTCGATGTTAGTGTTCATAATGCTCTTTATCCATCCGCGTCCATTTGTCCCGATTTCTTTACATACTTTTCATCTGCTCATATTCGTAACTTTTAGATTTTATAGGCTGAGACATGTCACTACTGTAAGGCCCAGGGTGATTCATTTGGTTCAATATGGAGTTTGATGATTACAGACAGTAAAGAAAAAATGGACAGAAGATTGTGAAATTCGTTCATGCTAACCCCGCTCTTCTTCCAGGTTCCTCTTCAAGTTCTTTTCATTTAAATCACATGGGATATGGGTTGGGACTGTTTAGAGTCATATTTTGTTGCTCTTAGGCTATTTGTGAAGAATGGTCCACCACCCCAAGTGCCCTCCTGTAGTCATTCGGTGTCAGGTGGGGTGGTGACAATGGGCCAATGGCTTCTTTAGATCCTTCAGCTCAGCTCTTTCTGCTTTGCAGAATGGCTTTGCAAGATACTTCAGCTCTCTTAGCTTGTAGGACATTACAGGGGATAGTTTTGAAAGACGTCTACATAAAGTAGGGAGAAAAAGAGGAGAAACTTTAAGCTTTGACAACCACGTGAATATCATTTGTTTTTTAACTAGTTTCTGACTCTGTTTTCACATGCCCCACACCATAACAACGGAATCAAAACGCATACATAAAAGACAAAGCTTTGCAAAGCAGAAAGGCAATAAATTGGGCCTCTTCCTGCAAGAGGCAATTAAGTTCAGATATACATTTCTTGGGCCTCTTGCCAATAATGTAGAAATGGCAATAAATTGACCTTCTGCTACAAAATTGTGAGCATGAAAAGCCTCTACCAGAAATCTTAACAATTTTCTAGGAGGAGATGCTGGAATAAAACTACAAACCAATGTCTTAGCGAGCTGCTTCGACATGATATAATTTACAGAACTCCAAGAAAAACCAACCATTTTCTGGTTTTTCTTTCATTATCTGCTTACATTTTCTTCAGTTTGGGAGGAACCCTCGATATAGTTAATGTTCTTAGATTTATTGGCATTCTCACTGTAATTCACTAGGTGGTCGTACATTTTTTGTGAAGCCTTGGAGAACTCTGATAAGGAATCAAAAACTGAGGAAAACCCTGTTTGTATTCCATTTAATGTAATCCTCTGTGCTTCTTGAATGCAATTATTGTGTTTTTCCTTCTCCAAATCAAGCTTCTTCCTGAACATGTCCAGCTGATCTTTCTTTTCTGTCAAGTACTCATTCTGATTTTCCACTTCCAACTCGGATTTCGTCTCAGTAAAGTTGAACTCGAGGAACTTGTTCTCTGTTTTCTGGAATGACAGTATCTGTCGGTCGAGTTCCTTTGCCAAGCTTTCAACTCTTCTCTTTTGCTGCAGCTCCTCCATCTGTTTATCTGATAGAGCCTTCATATCCTTTGTAAAGCTTTTCAATGCAAAGGCTACTGGTTTATCTGGTAATTTTTCCATGGATGATAGCCAATCACGGCAGATTGAAAGCAATGGAGGTCCGTGCAGCCCATAAGGCACAGCGGAAGTCCGACCCCGAGAACAGAACTCAACCTCAGGCACTACAAACTTGGTCAGCCATCCATGGAGAGCTTCAACATAAGCCTTCTGTGATTCAACATATTTTGAAAAACACAAACGCCAATTCTGAAGCTCAGCTCCAAGCTGAAGAGTTGCAAGACGGTGAGATTCGTTACAGAACTTCAGATAGGAATGGCAGGAATAAGTCTTCACTTCAAGGATAATCTTTTTCTGGGTTTCATGAACTTCCAACATGATTTTCCAAGTTCTTGTTAAGCTGCAAAACGATTTGGGAAGAAAAACAAGTGACAAACTGACAATGGATACATTATTTACTTCAGAAATACAGGTATCTTCCACTGTTTACCCTTTTAATAGCTCTACGATCTGAGGTTGTAGCTCGTCATCTCTTAGATTCACAATTCTTGTCGAGATTGATTCAGCACTTCGAATGGCGACCAAGATCCTGGCATATAAATCTTTAACCATAACCCGAGTTTTATAAGTTGTCATTCCATTGCTCCCTTTAACGTCCTGGTTTCTTAGTCGTGAACACCTTTTCTCATACAGTTTGTGCATGCTGTTCCCAGCCTGGGTGCAAGAATCAGAAAGTTGTAAGTCACAATTTGCCAACACTAGTCAAGAAGGATAAAAGCTTTATTCTGTTTACATCCCTAAAGAACATAATGAGTGGCAGCAACCGACACGAGAACTAATCAGGCTCTGTTATCAAATGATATGTTATAACGTGTTTGATAGACTAGCCCTATCAAACTATGATGTTTTTCCTTATTATACTGATCTTTCAACAAAAGAAACAGAAACAGCTTGAGGATCCTACTTCACCTTGACCTCTTCGTAGAGTTTCTTCTCCCAAGCATATAACCGTCCGAGAGTCGACGAATGGCTTCCCGAGTCCATTATGTCATAATCATCAAACAGCTCATTACTAAACTCCGTCCATGGCGAAGAACCTTTCGAACTGGATGCTACTAGACTCTTACATGATGAAGTCTTGCCCGAAACAGACCGGTGCCAAGTTATCGCTTGGATGAGTTTTGTCGAGTTCTCTGCAGTATGATGAGCTTGTTACTTCAATGACAATATAGCTTGCAAGAAACAAACTAGAGAGGTTAAAGAATGAAGCTATATGAATGGCACACCTTTTATTTCTTCTAAACCAGATTGAAGCTGAATTTTGTTGGCCCCTAACATCCTAGAAACATCAATTCCAGAATCATAAGCCCTAATGAAATAATCCTCAACATCCTGCAATGCTTCCAAAAGTTCCCTTCCTTCCACAGGTGTATCAATGACTCTTAGCTCCTTCTTCTTCAACTGACTCTCTTCTTCCTTCTCTCCAATATCCTCAACTCTCTGGTTTTTCTCTACTGTCTCTTCCTCCAGCTCTGGAATGCCTTCTTCCTCCTCTGAGCTCTGGTGATACCCGGCGACGACATCGGTCCTCATGGTATCAAATGGATTGAAAAAATCCCAACTAAACTCCCTCTGAGGGGATGGCATTGGGGGTGGCATTTGCATATAGAAATATGCAGGGACCTGTTCAATCCTCTCCTCCTCTACTGGTTCTTCTTCTCTTTCTTCCATGGAGGACTCTGTGGAGGTTGAAGAAGAAGAACAAGCACATGAAGGGCAGGCGGGTATGGCTTCATGGGTGGAATCTGAAGGCCTTTGCTGAAGAAACATTGGATTGGATATCACTTTTTCTGAAGGGGGAGGAGAAGAAGAAGAACATGTAGGAGGGAATGTGATGAGGAAAGGGGAAGGAGAAGAATGGCGAGCTACAAAGAGCTTAATGGCGGCTGAAACAGCATATAAAGCTTGACAATATTTACTATGTGCCTCTGCAAGTGCATACCTTCTCTCAACAGCTAACTTTATGTGGCGTTTTCTTTCTCTACAGATGGAGACTACTTCTTCTTCTTCCTCCAACTTTGAGGCAACACAACCCATTTCCTCGTTGGCCAAAGCCACAGCAGCAGGTTCTTCTTCTTCTTCCTTTATTCAAATGCCTGAAATTGAAAAAGATGGTTTATTTTTCTCCCTCTTGTATTATTCTTTAGTGATATAAAATAGGAAGAAGTTAGATTGTTTTCACTTGGGTTCAGAAAAAGCAAAAATGCAGCCTTTTTGAGAAAAATCCCACCGACCCATTTCATCTTCTAGCAAGTAAAACAATGGGATTGCTTCAGATAAAAGAAAATCCGGCTTTTCAAGAAGGTTCTTGATTGCTTGCTTGCTAGCTTGCTCACTCTTTCTGATGAATAGAAAAAGGCAGTAAGTTTGAAAGGAAGTGCTTGAAGGAAGCAATATCCTCCTCTCCACCTAGAATCCTCTGTTTTCTGCAACAAAAAATGAAAAACTCTGGTTTAGCAGTTTCTTGGACACATGAGGGATTTGCAAGAAAACCCTTGTCCTTTTAGGCTAAGAAGAAGGTAGGGGCTCGAGCAAGAGAGGAGAGTGTTGTGTAAAACAGTTCGAAATAGGAAAAAGTTCAGAACTTGTTTGCCTGGTTTTACCATAGTTTACTTTATTTCCAATATCTCTGCATTGATTCATGGGTTGAATCTGTTTCCCTCTCTCTCTCTCTCTCTCTCTCTCTCTCTCTCTCTCTCTAAAAAGATGAGTCAAACTTGGTAAAAAGGGACCAAAAACACAGAGAGACAGAGAGACAGAGAGACAGATTTGTTGTTTTGTATGTGGTGGTTATGTTTTTTTGTTGTATTTGGAAGAGGATATAATGATGTTCTTTTTTTGCAACTCAAACACACCATTACAGAATAAGCTTTAGGGTTTTAGTTTGGAGAATCCAGAAACTCACGACTGTCACTGTCTTTTGTAGCTCAAGAGACTATCTCTTGTCTCCTTGGAAAAGATGGCTCCTCTGTTCTTTCTCTCATTTTAAGTTCAAATGTTGGAAGAATAATAATCTAAAGTCTTTTTATTCTATTTTAAATTAGGTCGGTAAACTATTATCGTTGTGTTTATTTGTCTTACGATCTCCTTGACTCATATGCACCATGACTACAAAATCTATATGTCATTTGTAACAATTCAAATCTACCGCTAGCAGATATTATTCTCTTTGAACTTTCATTTAAGGTTTTTAAAATGTGTTTTATAGTGAGGTTTCTACACCCTTAATATATGGGATTTCACACTGATCTTAATAAATAAACCACTCATGCCTTTGAACTTTTAGATTTTGGCTCTAATGAGTTTCAGCTAAGAACACCGTTGTTTATATCATCAGTAAAGTACGATCATTGAACCAATGAGCGAGGCTATGACGTTACGTGAAAAATATATGAAATCTAGAATGAGCGAGGCTATGACATTACATGAAAAATATATGAAATCTAGAATGAGCGAGGCCATGATGTTATGTGAAAAATTTCAGTTATGTGAAAAATATATGAAATGTAAAGAAAAGTTCATAAGATCTCTACTTTTAGTTGTTTGTTTCCTAAAGCTTATTTACTTAATGCCCAAGTTCTTCTCACTCTAAAGCCTTAAACCAATTTTTAAAAAAAAAATTAGTATTCAAAAGTTACTCAACTTATTCATTAAGTGATCTCAAATTTTTAGGTTTTTTTTCTAAATTTTGCCCTTCTTCTTATCGATCGAGCTTCTTTGCTCGTGAAAATGGTAGCTTTATATATATATATACACACACACACAACCCCTTTATTTTTAAACTTACTCCCACCAAATTGAACACAAGTTTAGAGGTTGTTTCACCCAATCCAAATCCAAATCCAAAATGAAGAAGTAAAGAAAGAACACACAAATCCAATGCAAACCCAACATAGGGAGTGGGGAGTGGGTGGGTGCAGTGAGAAATGTGCCATTTTACTTGAAACAAGACAAGACAACCATTCTTACCCTACTTTGTTACCTAGGGACCTTCAATTTTCCTGTCTGGATTACTGTGTTTATGCCCTCACTGACACTCTGACACTTACTCAGATTAAAGCTTCCTACTATATTATCTAATCCACCCCATACCACCTACATGGCTCAATCCCTTTGTCAAATGGATTCTGGATTGAAATAAACAACTGCTCAATCTGCAAAGATGAGGAATATATCTTCAAAAGCGTCATGTTCGTTGTTGTGAGATCCCACATCGGTTAGAGAGAAGAACAAAATATTCTTATATTCTTTATAAGGGTGTACAAATCTCTCTCTAGTAAACGCGTTTTAAAAACCTTGAGAGTAAAAGCCCAAAAAGAACAATATCTGCTAGCACCGAACTTGATGATTTTATACGGATGTAATGAATGACAGATAGGCAGTTCAGCATGAACTGAGTCATGATACATACAATTTACAAGAGCTAAGCAGTGAGCAAAATGGGTGAAGAAAAAATCTTGGGAAGGAATTAGCTACAATTACAGGCGACTTGAAGCTGTCTACTTCAGTTGCTTTGGTTTTTGAGTTAACAGTTACAGTGTTGTATGGTAAAAGGATTGATGCCTGGCTCCACTTTATCTCTGTTGGAAGCTACCTGGTATTCACATATGATATCAATACAACAGACAAACATGAGATGATTATGGCCTAATCAGGCCATGCCAGGGGCCAATGAGTTAGGATGCAAGTTAACTCCGCCCCCTCGCATGGATAGGCTTGGGCATTTTGTAGAGCTAGCCCGGCTCACAAGGTTCGAGTCGAGAAACACAACAACCACTGTGATGTCATCGTGGAAATGTCGCCGTACGCCACGGTCAATCTTCTTCAAATCGGAGTACCTCATTTCTCGTTTCTTTGCTGCCTCTTGCAGTGCTGCTTTCACTAACCTCCTTGCACTTCCCTGCAATGAGATTGTTCAAATGAAAGTTGAGTTTCTTTTACATGTTCTTCTTTGAGTTTAGGTGGGAGAGAATTCTTACATTGCGTGGATGGTTTTGGACAATATCAACAGCTTCCTGATTGCTAAGGTGTTCCCAGAGCCCATCTGAAGCAAATATAATAAATTGATCTTGTGGTTGCAACTGGAGCACTGAAATGGATGGTTCGGCGTTCAGTATGGGCGTTTTGATAGGTTCACGAAGGCGAAACTTAGCATATAGAGGCTCTCGGTTGAACTCAGCTCTCTTTAAATAGACATCACCGATGGATCGAGAAACCTAAAACGAAAATTGTTATACATAGTTAAAAACATGATTCAGTCACATGAAAAGACAAACTATGAGATCCCACATCAGTTGGGGAGGAGAACGAAACATTCTTTATAAAGGTGTGGAAACCTCTCCCTAGCAAACGCGTTTTAAAAACCTTGAGGAGACGCCCGAAAGAGAAAGCTCAAAGAAGACAATATCTACTAGCGGTGGGCTTGGACTGTTACAAATGGTATTAAAGCCAAACATGAGGAGATGTGCCAGTGAGGACGCTGAGCTCAGAGGTGAATTGCGAGATCCCATATCGGTTGGGGAGGAGAACAAAACATTCTTTATAATGGTGTGGAATCCTCTCCCTAGCAGACGTGTTTTAAAAACCTTAAGGGGAAGCCCGAAAGGGAAAACCCAAAGAGGACAATATCTGCTAGCGGTGAGCTTGAGTTGTTACAAATGGTATCAAAGCTAGACACTAGGCGATGTGCCACCGAGGACACTGAGCCCTAAAGGGGAGTGAATTTTGAGGTCCCACATCGGTTGGAGAAGAGAATAAAACATTCTTTATAAGGGTGTAGAGACTTCTTCCTAACAGACGCGTTTTAAAAACCTTGAGGGAAAGTCGGAAAGGTAAAACTCAAAGGGAACAATATCTATTAACAGTGGGCTTGAACCGTTACACAAACTATGAGCATAATCAATATTAATGCATTAAATAACTTACCTGTATAAGGCCCTTCACACGCCATACATTATGCTTCAAGACAACAATATGTGGATCATCAGGGTGCAGGGCCCGGAGCTCCTGCCTGACAGACTCTATTGATGCATTATGCTCAGCCGACAACTGGACAGACAAAACTTCCCCTGTTGCCTTTACAACTCTCCCTAAAACAGCTCGTGAATCACCAAGGTTAGCTATGTAAAGAGTTCCACCACAAATTACACCTACAAGGCAGCAAGATCCAACAGCTGCAATTAGTGGCCTCATTGACCATTGTTTTGAAACTTGAGCGATAACCCCGTCTTCGGTAGCTTGAAACGCCTTTCGTATGACATCCACCGACATGGACTGTTGCTCGGAAGCAAACCCTACAAGTTGGGGAACAATCATTAGGAGTCTCGAGCATATTCTAGTTTCCAAGTTTTATGGACAACAACTACAAGTAAGCCTGAATTATGAAATAACAGACACTAGACAAAATTTCAGCTCAAATATCATATGAAACGAACCCTCCAAATATAGAAGTCAAGTCAGCCCGGAACAGCCCAAGCCCACCACTACCAGATACTGTCTTCTTTGGGCTTTCCCTTCCAGGCTTTCCCTCAAGATTTTTAAAACACGTTTGCTAGGGAGAGGTTTTCACACCCTTCTAAAGAATGTTTCGTTCTCCTCCCCAACCGATGTGGGATCTCACAATCCAACCCTCTTCAGAAGCCAGCGTCCTCGCTGGCACATCGCCCGGTGTCTAGCTGATACCATTTGTAACAGCAAAAGCCAACCACAACAAATATTGTCCTCTTCGGGTTTTCCCTTCTAGTCTTCCCCTCAAGGTTTTTAAAATGTGCTTGGTAAGGAGGGGTTTCCACATCCTTGTAAAGAATGTCTCCTCCTCCCCAACCGAGGTGGGATCTCACAATTCACCCCCCTTCGGGACCCAGTGTCCTCGCTGACACTTCACCCGGTGTCTAGCTCTGATACTATTTGTAACAGCCCAAGCCCACCGCTAGCAGATATTGTCCTCTTTGTGTTTCCCCTTCCGAACTTCCCTTCAAGGTTTTTAAAACGTGTTTGCTAGGGAGAGGTTTCCACACCCTTACAAAGAATGTTTCGTTCTCCTCCCCAACCGATGTGGGATCTCACATCCAACTTATACGACACGGGAATCTGCTTCTTGGAGAACTTTGAATGAGTGAAAGCACTCGTAAACCAACTCCCATCAACTTGTTGAGAAATCAAGCATATGGGAAACAAACAATTGAACAAAAAGTATATGTAAAATCAAATCAGTTATCAGTGCCTTACTTTTAAGATGCTGGAAGAGATGATCATTTACATAGCGAGATGTCTCTGGCCCTCCATGCCCATCATACACACCAACAAAAGTACCATATGGCCCAGCCTCGTGCAAGCTCAAATTGCCCGACTCCATCTGGCTTTGATCCTCAAGTAAATTATTAGCCTGAACTACAGCCATTGAAAACTCACCATTGGCATGCTGTCCACTATCCTTGTACCATAAGAGACCATCCTGTCGACCACCAGCATCTGAACCTTTGTGCACATGTCGATCCGACCGCGGTCGAAAACAAGCTTTCAGAAAGTTCATCAACCCTGAGAACATCCCTCATCTCATCCAAACAACCCTCCAAAATATCAGCATCTGAATATAAAGAACAAAAACAATTTAGACTCCCTGATTTCATTTCCTTCTGCTACAAAAACAACCAATATGATTGAGAACACCAGAAACATAAACAGATGAACATGGATATTGTCAATCAAAACAAGAGAGGCAATACAAATATGAAGAACATACAGTTAACTTCAATTGGGAAAAATCTGAAACCGGTTCAATTTGCTGTTCAACACAAAAACGCACGTATAATATGGCCGCTAACAGTGGAAAAAGACAGATGGGGGAAAGAATCGAGAGGTCAAAGGCGATTTTTCTTCAACAATTCCTTAGTCAACCATTAACCCATCCACAGAAGTCTACGTCTTCACATTGAAACAAAGAACCTCAACCCATCACAGATTCCAAAGGGGTGGAACAATTCAACATTCTCATCATCAAATTCAACAAACCCATATGAAAAAACTGAAAACAAAGTGGACCCATATGAAGAAAAAAGGGCTTACAACAGTTAACACTTCAATGGACGCTCCCATGAATGAGCAAGGCCCGGAGAAGAACAACAAGATGAAGATCTCGCAAGATCAAGAAGATCAAGTCGGTCTGAAGGCATTAAATCTGTGGATCCATCAAGATTTGCGATGAAAATAGAAGTGGGTTTGGTTTGGATTATCAGAAATTGTGATGAATTAAGTTGTTGATGAAGAAAATTGAAACGAAAAGGGTCGAGGAAACAAATAAAGAGGTAGCCAAGTGAAGAACCCTCCCTTTCTCTCTCCCTCGGTGAAAGGCAGACAAGCCCCATAAAAGACCAACAACGGAGAGCTTGAAGCCAGCAAAGCAGAGGTCCAGCAATGGGCTCCACGCCACTGTGCTCAACACACACAAACAAAGAGTCGAACAAACCTCAAATAATACCCTTAAAATTAAATAAAATTTTATTAATTAATGATCAAATAATAATTTATTATAAGTATTTTAATATTAAACGCCTAAAAAAGAAAGAAATAAATAAAGATAATTTATTTATTGTAATTAATTTTTAATTGATTTTGATTTAAGTATTATTATCTGTAAATTTAATTTAACTTGTTTCAATTATGAATTAAATATATTTGAGATATTGTTAATTAACTAATCAATAGCTTCATTAAATAAGTTAGTGCATTCATTTAATAAATTTATATTTGTAAAATGGAATTAATTATAGGGTTATTATCGGTTAAAATGTTGCATGTCTAACTTATATGTCTCCTAGTACGGATAATCTAGACTCTCTAACATAGGTTAGTTCTTGATGTTGCGGTCGGTGCTCGTTTGTGCGTGCGGGAACTCACCGAACAAACAAGGGAATCTGGGGCATTTGAGAATGATGCGAGTTATATGAAGGTGTAACAGCTCGAGAGCTAGTAGATATGTCATCTTCATGCTTTCCCTTTCAAGCTTTCCCTCAAGGTTTTAAAACGCGTATACTAGGGAGAAGTATCCACACAGCTATAAGAAATGTTTCATTCTCCTCTCCAACCGATGTGAGATCTCACAGAAGGGAAACTCTCACTTGCGGTAGAAGGAGCTCGATAAGGTCCCCCACTGACTTTTCTCGAACCTACGTGAAAGTGAAGTGGCGGGCCTACCCATCCCAACCAGGGGTATACTAGGAATTGTGAAGAGGAGCACTGTTACTAGAATATCATTAATAAGACCCGATCAACTCAACTGAGCTCATCAAAGATTCACGTGTCTGATTTCACTCGTCCAGCTCCATCTCATCCAGCTCGTTTGAGCATATCTCAACGATCGAGCTCATATTATTTAGCTCTTCTAATTCTGATTATCAATACCGACATAAAAGCGATATTTCAATACTAAATTTCAGTACCAATGAACGTAATACCCTTTAAAACTAAGCTTAAAGAATTTCAAATGATTTCTTTAAATTGTCAAAATACCTAAAGATCGCCATGAAATCAAGTGACGAAGAAATGTGTAAACATAGCATTAAAATGTGGAAGCCTATAGGCTAGGCTCTTAATTAACCCCTATGTTCTTTCGCTCTCCGTTCTGAATTGACTTCTAGTTTTTATTTTTTAAACGAGAGACGATATTATATAATTGTTAAAGACATATGTTTCGTTGAGATATTCTTCAACGTAACGGTTCTTATGTCGTTGCTATTTTTACAAAAATTTAATAAATTTTCTACACGCTAAAATAACCCTAATTTGATGATAATTGAGTTGTACTATCTCCGACCCAAAATTGAAATTCATCAAGTAATTGTAATATCTCAAGTCCATCGCTAGCTGATATTATCCGTTTTGACTCGTTACGTATCGCTATTAACCTCACAGCTTTAAAATGTGTTTACCAATAAGAGGTTTCCACATACTTATAAGAAATGCTTCATTCTCCTCTCCAACCAGGCCAAACGTCCTCGTTAGCACACAACGAAACATTCTTATAAGGGTTTGGAAGTCTCTCCCTAGTAGACACGTTTTAAAACCGTGAGACTGATGATGATACGTAACGGGTCAAAACGAAAAATATCTTCTAGTGGTGGGCTTGAATTGTTACAAAATGGTATCAGAGCTAGACACTCAGTGATGTGCCAATGATGACACTAGGTTCGAGTTAAAGAGAGGAACAAAACATTCCTTATAAACATGTGAAAATTTCTCGGTATAACAATATCGACCGACAGTTATACATAACGGACCAAAACTGATAAAATCTATTAGCAGTGGGCTTGAAGTATTATAGTAACCTTTCTATTATTTAATTAATTTTATTTGTCCTTTCAAATATACTAATTAAATAACTCATAAAATTCAACCGTACAATAATTAAATATTTTTTTAAAAAATAATAAAAACTTTGAATAAAAATATATATTAATTCAAAACGTTGCCTACCATGACCATACTAATTTTACGTCTCTAATAAATATTTTTGGTCAAATTATTTGAAATTTTTTAACGTCGTCTTTGAACATTTATCCAGTTGAATATCATAAACGAATCAAAATATGAATTATTCAATTGTTTGACATTGTTTTGAAGACTAAAAATTATATAAAAGCACTCGTTTTTCTAGCATACAATAATTATTTAATTTTTAAATTCACGTCGTTATTGAAAAACTAAAAAATCTTATAAATTTGTCATTGAAAGAGAATTTTGAAACCAAGATTAGAAAATTTTAACCTACTTCATTGACTACTACTCAGAAATTAATCATAGATCAAATCAACTCGAATTTATTTTTAATTTTAAAACACATTTTTTTTTATTAATACAATAAGTGTACACATATTTATTTTATTTTTGTTTAATTTTATAATTATTTATTCTTTCACCGCTCTTATAAATAAATTTTAATTATTTAAAAAATAATTTTTAAAAATATATGTGAACTCATGAGTAATCGCAAATTTTAATTAAATATTTTTTAAAAAATAGATATTTTATGAACTCAACATTTTATTTTTATTAAAAATAAATAAATAATCCGAACCATCCTAACCAACTAAATTCACAAATTAATTTTTTCTTAAATAATTATAATACAAATCACTCTTTAATTGAAATATATATATATATATATATATATATATATATATATATATATATATATATATATATATTTGTACATAATTATTTAAAATATTTTCAAACTACTTAATTTATATATTTAAAAAGAAAACCAGACAAAATGAATTTTATTAAAATAATTTTTAAAAACATTTAAAGTTAAATTATTGTTATTTTTTAATTAAAGAAATCAAAGCTATGTTATTTTGAGTGCGGCGCATCTTGTGAAATTAATATTAATATTTAGATATTTTAATTAATTCAATATAAAATCATCTTTGACCATATTATTAATTTTCCAAAATTAAAATTAATATTGAGATATTTTGTCCGTACGAAAAAAATAATAATTCATTATTATTATAATTTATTTGGGTCTGTTCCACGTTGCACGTGCGCTTGTTTTCTTTTCCCACCCACTATTTTTAATCAATACGCCTACGTTCACCATTAAATTACTATTTTTCAATAATTAATCAATCAAATATCAACCTTTTTTAAAAGATAATTTTAAATTTTGAATATTATTTTTGTTTAATTCATATATTTTATTTTTGAACTTTCATTAAAAAAATAAATAAATTATTAAAATCCTTATTGTTAATCTATTTGTAGGTTAATTATTTAATTAAAAACTAACATGGGTATGTTTTTTTTTTCTTTGTTATTTAATGATGTGGACAAAAATTTGAAGCCAATTATAATGTTTTTTTTTTTGAATTATTAGTAAAAAAAAATTCCATTAGTATAATCGTTAGCCTCAAGGTTTCGTTCTCATTAGTATCACCGTCTACCTCACAGTTTTAAAATGTGTCTGTTACAGAGAGACTTCCACACACTTATAAGAAATGTTTCATTCCCTTCTCCAACTGTTGTGGGATCTTACAACCCACCCCTCTAGAGGTTCAGTGTCCTCGTTGGCACACCGCCCGGTGTCTGGCTCAGATACCATTTATAATGGTCCAAGCCTACCACTAGCAAATATTATCCGTTTTGGCCTGTTACTTACCATTGTCAACCTCACAGTTTTAAACGCAACCTGACTCAATTCAAATTATAAGAGTTGGGTTGAGTTTGGGTTGGGTTCATTTTTTTTTAACCTAATTTAGTTCGGGTTCCAAAAGAAAATGATTGGGTCAACCCGATCCAACACAAGAATCTTAAAAAAAACAAATGAAACCCAACGTCCAAGCCCAAATCTCAATCCCAAGCCCAGAACGTCTAGCCGTCTGCATCTGTGTGGTTTGCGATGTCGTAGTCGCACTCGTACTCTGCATCCACTGTTTGACTGTGAGTCCGAGACTTTATCTCTCAAACTCTCAAAGAAGATCTAACATCTTGATCTAATCAGCCAAGTTATACTCAAACAGCAAAATAGATATACATTTCTTAAACCGATATCAATTCAATGTCCAATCAATGTCAATGGGCATTGAATTGATAGCATTTTGGGGTGATAGATATCAAAAAAGAATGGGATCCTTAGAGGAAGATATGTCCGTTTACCTAACATAAGGAGGATATGTATATAATAATCTTTCATCTCATCTCACACATAATGTTTTGCATTTAATGGTAAAATGACAATGACATTACCGATACATATTTCAAACTCTAAAAGCCCCACACCCTTTGGCCCTTCATTATTGCCCTATTCTAATATGCCATCTCAATAGATAAAGACGTCACACCCTAAGCACCAAGTCTAGTGAGAGAGACTTCGAGACCTTATCTATATAGCTTACTAGACAATGATCGGCTGCTCGTCTAAGAACATAGATCATCCACACTGAGACTGAGATACGACCCATGAAAGATTAGGTTTCTATGGTCGTTGAAACATTACCCACCATGAAACAAGATGTTAGATATGTTTAAGGGGAGAGCGAGGACAGGGAAGCCTTCTCCATCTTTGTCACCCCGTTTAGAATATGTTAAATAGACATCTCTGCCAGACGTATGACTTACCAAGTTGATCACTTGTGGGTATTGAAAGCCAAAGAGCTCACTACACCCTACAAAAGCTCCGTTCTAACAGCGTTGCGGAATCTAACCACCCTAACTCAACTTTATATTACTTTAGTTCAAGTGCGGATTTAATCATCGTATGTTGCATACAACATCCCACCACATTAAGCTTCTCGAATATCTATCAGTGTAACGCTTTGTCTCATCGCTTTAGCTATCGACTTACGTGGATCTATGACCG